GCTCAAAGTCTGGATGGAGATGTGTATGGAAACTGTTGAGCCATGGCCTGAACTACTGCTTGAGCATTTGGGGAAAAGACCAGGTCAGCTCTGAGAGCTCAGCTGAAGGCAATTCAGCTGTGTGGCCAGAAGGGGTGGAGCCTGCCTGCACCTCTCTTAGACCTCACTTAAGGGCTGACTGCCACTGGGGAAGGGTTTCTTTCTGGAGCTCTCTTCCTGTGGGTGCTTTCCCCTGTGAGCTTGGAATTTTCTTATACAGGTAAGTAATCTTCCCTTCCTTTATTTCACTTTTCTTTTCTTTTGTGCTGATCTTTTGTCATTATTATCTCTGATGAAACATTTTTCCTGTCATATTGATCTGACCAATTGTTACTAGGTGGATGATGAGTGGTGTTCCTTAGGGGTTGGCTGGGGCCAATACCCTTTAATATCTTCACCAGTGACAGTGGGGTCAAATACATCCTCAGGAAGTTTGTTGATGATACTAAGCTGTGGCATGTATTTGACACATCAGAGCGTTGGGATGCTATCCAGAGGGCCCCAGACAGGCTTGAGCAGTAGATACAGGCAGATCTCATAAGGTTCACCATGTTTAAGTGCAAGATGTTGCACCTGGGTTGAGGCAACCCTCACTACCAATACAAACTGGGAGATTAAAAGATAAAGTATAGCCTTGCCCAAAAAGACCTGGGGGTACTGGTGGATGGCAAGCTGGACATGAGCCAACACTGTGCCCTTGCAGCCCTAAAGCTAGCTGTATCCTGGGCTACGTCAAAAGAAGTATGGTCAGCAAGTTAAGGGAGGCAATCCCGTCCCTATGCTCTGTAATGGTGGGGCCTCACCTGGAGTACTGTGTCCAGATGAGGAGTCCTCAAAACAGTAGAGATAAAAATCTGCAGGAGCATGTCTAGAGGAGGGCCACAAAAATGATCCCCAGAATGGAATGCTGTGCCTAGGACAGGCTGAGTGCTAGGGCTCTTCAGCCTGGGGGAGAGAAAGAAGGCTGTGAGATGACCTGAGAATGGCCTATCAGTAACTAAAGTGGAGCTCCAGAAGAGAAGGGGACAGTCTCTGTAGCAGGGTCTGTTGTGACCAAACAAGGGGAAATGGTATTAAGTATGAAGAAGATAGATTCAGGTTAGATATAAGGAAAGTCTTTTACAGTGAGGGTGGGTGAGGCACTGGAACAGGTTACCCAGTGATGTGGTTGATGTCCTGTCCCCAGAGACTTTCAAGGTGAAGCTGGATAAGGCCCTGGGCAACCTGATCTAGCTGTGGTGTCCCTGTTTGCTGCTAGGAGGTTGGGTTAGATGGCCTTCAGAGCTTGCTTCCAACTCAAAAGATTCTATGATGTTTCCCAGCATTCCCAAACCTACTGTAATTTTCCTGGTTACAAATACCCATAGCCATGAACTACTACATTTTGGGATCTGTTCTACCACATCTCTCTGCAAAGAGAGCAGAGCTCCAGCTATGATAGCTTTGGACATAGTAGCTTGTGTAACGAGAGTTCTTTGATTGATTGCTGCAGGCAGTTTAATTCTAGACCACAAACACTGTGGACTGATGTCAGAACTTTTTGTTTATCAGTTTCTAGTAAACCTGTTGCTGTTCTTCTCTGCATTTAGAGCTACATACTCCTGTTATTCTTCTTGGACAGTCACCTACTACCTAAATTATGTTCCTGTGCTGAAATATTATCAATAAATTTAACATGATTTTTTTCTCCTCACATTTTTTTAGATTACATAAATTTTAGCTAAGCAATTCTTTTCATGCTGAAATATATTACAGAATGTCATTTCTGTTATAAGAGCTAATTGATAATGTGATTTGTTATGTTGCTGAGACATAATTCAGAAAGTTATTTTAAAGCCTTTGATACATGGAATAGCACTATCCTTTTAATATTTCTTGTATGAATGGATACTGCATAAGGGAATGATGTGGTGCCATGTAGATGAAATATTTTCAGAAGCTTTTATTCTTGTTGTTTGGGCTTGTGCCAATGTCTTTCTTGTCAAAAGCTCATACACCACGAGCTGTCTCTCATTTAATTTATGCTTTGCTCATTAGGTAGCAGGAATTTTTCCTCCACGTTGTGGAAAAATGCATTTTAATTTTTAAAAGCTCACAGTCAAATATTTGTGAGCATTCTCTAGAATGCTCCTTCCAAATGCAAATTTATCAAGATTATTTATACAATATTATTACTAGGACTTGTCTTTCTGAATGTGCTATTTGTATGAATGATTTAACAGAATCAAATCAGTATTTCATCATGGCTGTTTCCCCTACGGTTGCTAGGGGTTACTCCTCCTACACAGTATCGGATGAAATCAACAGTTTTCATGAAGTTTTTGTATTGCAGGTAGGATTTTTGGTCCATTTATTGCATATTCAGTGTTAAAGAACAATAACCTTCAGAATGACACTTTTTATGATTATGCTATAGTTTAGTTTTTTTAAATCAACTGAAGGCAAGGAGCATCTTGGGAGTCCAACATCTTAGGTTTCTACAACACAAACACACCTCTCTTTCTAACTGTTGAGCCACATACTCAAAAGATTTATTTGGCTTTCATTGCCATCATCTGCTGACTCACTCTATGGGGTGAAAAAACAAACAAACTTGCTATTGTCAGTCCAGTTAGTTTGCTATGAGATGGTCTCACAATTTTTTTCAGTCTTGAATCTTCACTTCAACAAAGATGACGTTTTACCCAGACCTCTGCACAGTCTGTTTGAAATATGACACCGTCGTCATTCCATGAGCACAGAACGCATCTAAGAATCTCTCTATTTTTGTCTTTTTCCTCTCCCAGTCTATCGCATGATTTGAGAGTCCACTTGAATAGTGGTTGACTTCTAATTCTCACCTGATGATGAAGTAACTGCACTATAAATTGAAGTGTTTCCGTCTATTCTTGTGAATAAAACCTAAACTATTCATCATGTGCCATTTCTTGGAGCTGGGTAGGTTAACTCTAAAATTCTAGAGTGAAAACTACTGCACTTCGGCAAATGCTTTAAAATTGCTGAAAACATTCATGTGTGATCACAGAGGGAAACTTAAGACACATTTAGCTTCATATATGCTGAGGCTCTTTAGACATCTTGCAGTAAATTTAACTGAAAGTGGATTCTTTTAATGTTTAAACTCATTTTTCATTCTTAAACTTTCTCTCACAATTTGAGAAACACCAGAAATATTAAGCTATTAGATGCACACTCAAATTAGGATCTGAAATAGAAATTTTCTATAATGTTATTTCTTAATACTGTTGGTTTTTGGTTGGTTTGTTTGTTGCTTAGCTCCATTCACATGTCCTGTCTTTAAGAGATTTTTCCAAAATTTTTTTACCTGGGATAAAAAAATACTTTGTCTATGTAAGATGCATTTTCTTATTCTCCTTAGTTAAGCCACTACTGTAAATTTACAAAGATATGTAAAATACATTAGTTTGCTTATGCTCTTTTTTTCTTCATTCCTAATTCTACTGTATATTTTTTCCTGAAGTGACTCTTTACTTTTGTACATCAGAAAATTCAATCATGTCACTGCGAACTGCTAGAAACACATGAAGAGAAGTTATCACTTCTGGTACTAATTCCTGAAGCAATGAATTAGATGTCTTTTGGTGTCACTGCATGAATATCCACTGCACCAAACAAAAGTACGGCTTATCACTTTATGTCCTTAGTTCTACTACTATTAAGGATTTTACTGAAATAAAAATTGGTATTTAGCAAAATACAGAAAATATTCTCCTAATACTCTAGGCCATTTCCTTATGACTACACTCCATAGGCCTAATTTATTATTTTTCTAGTACTTCAGAAATTCCAATCAGATATTATGTATATATGTATGCTATTCAATTCTATTGTACTTAACCAGCATGCATTGCATGTTTGTAGGGATTTCATCCCAGATTCTGATTAGCATTTCCAAACAAGTAAAGCTTACAGATCCGATGTTTTGTGAATAAGGCCATTACTCTTTACCAATGATAAAGTAGTGCTGTCAAACTGCAAAGAAATTCTTGGTCATGCTCATTCATCTTTCTGACAGAAGTTGTTGCAATGTAGTTAGGGATTAAGTATCAAATATAAAAGGAAATATTTTTGGAGAAAAACACCTTAACATATTATTTCCATTAGTTTAGTACTCAAACTACTGAATATGCCCACTGTACCAGGATATTAGTGTTCTTTCTAACCTTTGCAGTCTTGTCTTTTTTTATACTAAATTACTATGAAAGGACAACAGTCATTTTTGAAGCACTGAAAGATTTCTGGACTTCACTATTTGGGGTTCTGATTGATGGCAAGTTGATGAGACAGCAGTGTGCCTGGTAGCCAAAAGGGCCAACAGTACCTGGGGTGACCCAGGCTCAACACTGCCAGCCAGGTAAGTGAAGATGTTGTCCCACTTTGCTCTGCATGCGCAGCTTCACCTTGAGAACTTGTTAAGTTTTGGGCACCACAATATAGGCAGGCCATGAAACTACTAGAATGTGTGCAAAGGCAAGCTATGAGGATGGTGAAGAGTCTAGAGGGCAAGATGTATGAGGAGCAACTGAGATCTGTTTGTTCAGCCTGAAGGAGGATGAAAGGAGGCCTTGTGATAGCCTGTAGTTCCAGGACAGAGGACTGGAGGGGCTGGCACTGAGCTCTGTTCTCTGGTGACAGCAGGACTCTGGGGAAGAGCATGGAGCTGCTTCCAGGGGGTGGGGTTCAGGTGAGTGTTAGGGAAAGGTTCTGCTCCAGAGAACCTTTGGCACAGGCTCCCCAGGGCAGTGGGCACAGCCCTGAGCTGCTGGCGCTCAAGGAGCGTTTTGATACCATTCTCGGACACAGGGCTTGAGCTTGGGTGGTGCCAGGAGTTGGGACTCGATGACCCTTGTGGGTCCCTTCCCATAAGAGATGTTCTACGCTCGTATGATTTTACTGCAGCTGTTGTCAAGGTTTTTTTCCAGTTTTGCACAAATGAGATAGATCATACGCTTCTGCATGGCAAATTCTGAATCCAGTGAAAACAACAAGTTTAAAATCTGACTCCAACCGATAGTATTATTTTATTGCCAATTCTCACGTATCGGGGAAAAAAAAGAGAGAGAAGTGGAGACTGAGTCACCGGGGCTTCCAGGCGACGAGGCCGAGCGCCTTGCACCACGTCTGTCCCAGCTGAGGAGTCTGCCGCAGAGTCGGGAGACGCCGCCGCTCAGGCTCACCTGGGCCGGGCTGCACGGCACCATCTTTCTGACTTCCGGACGGGCGCCGCGCGCGGCTCCCAGCCCTCCCGCCGAGCACCGCCGACCTGCGCAGAGCAAACGCCGCGCAGCCAAGAAGGCGCGGAGTCGGACGCGCCAGCCCTGCCGTAGGGCACGCCGGAACCGGCAGGCCGGAAGCTGGAGCAGGCGGCGGTAGCGCCGGGCCGGAAGCGGGGGGGCGCGTTTCTTGGCGACGACATGAGTGGGGCGCGGGAGGCGCTGCTCGCCCTGCTGCTGGCGGCGGTGGCTGAGAGCGGCGGGCCAGGGGCCGCGGCTGAGCTCACCGCCGGGAATTCGCGCGAGTCGGCGGCTCCGCGTCGAGCCTCTGCTGCCCGCGCGGCCCGCGGCGGCGCCCGGAGCTCCCTCCTCGCTGCCAGAGGTTTACCCGGCCGCCCGCCTGCCGCCGGTAGTTCGTACCGCCTCGTCGGCAGCAGGTGGGCGGGGGCAGAGTGTCGGGCCGGGCGGCGGAGCTCCCGGGAGCCGCAGTGCAGCGCCGTCGCCGCATCACGGGAAGCGACTCGATTCCGCGGCGGGTCACAAAAGCTTTTTTGCTCTTGGCGGCCGGTATCTAACGGCCTGCGTAGAACTAAGGCACCTCGTTGTATGGCTTTTGGTGGAAAGTGGGGGATCTTAGGAAAAAAGGATTCATATTCGATTGGAACTGGAAAAGCAATAAGGGATGCTGTCAGAGGAAGGAAGTTTCAGCTACTTGGATGTAAAGAGCTGTGGGAGAACCCCATCATCGTGGGTTGTAGTTGGGAAAGAACCTGGAGGAGCTGTAATATGTGGATGCTGAATTTCTTAACCGTTTATTGTTCAAGGAGTGTCGGAATGATTTCTAAGTGTACAGATTGAGTGTATCCACAGTTACTGCAGTGGGGGAGGTGGCCTTCTGAAATTGTCTGCCAATGCAAATTGTACAGTAACTTGTATAAGCAGGTTAATGGTAATACTGTTGGTATTTAGTAAGGTTAAAAGTGAAATATTGCAAGAAAATACTATTTAATTGACTTCTTGGTGTGTGTGTGGGGGGCTGTCATGGTTTGTTTGCAGGTCTGTGAATCAAGTATGTGTGGAAAAATCATTCATATTCAGAGCTAATATTCCTTACCATACTGATACCATTGCTGTCTCTGATGGACCTGATTTGTTCTGTGTGCAGCTGGAGAACCGTAAGTAACTTTTCTTTCTATTAAGCTAATTCTAATATAGCCCCTGCATAAGGGACCTGAAACTTGTGTTACAGTTGTTATTAATTACTATTTTGGCTGCTGTAGTTCCTGTAAGACCATAGGGAATCATGATTCCATCACCAAAGACAAAAAATAATAATTTTGCTCTTTTTAAGGATAAAGTCTCTCTGACTAAATGTAAAAGAGCCTGTTTCAGTCACTCCTGTGTTTGAGATACCTTAGTTTGCTACCCTCATAGCAGAAACTAAATGTTGACATTCAAAATGTACTCCTGTTACGCTTTTCAGAAGGTGATTTCTGATCATGTCTTGCATTACTTTTTTCTTGGGGTTATTTTCATACTTTCTTCTTTGCTGGGACCCATTTTTCTTGCTTTTGCAGTTTTTCTCAGTGCTCCTTTTTGCTGGGTAGAGTTTCACATTTGTCTTAATATGATGGTAAAGAGGACAGTGTGACTGCTCACCATGTACCCGACGATTCATCCTGACCTTGTGCTTCATGTCTAATGATCGTATGTCTGCTAAGTTAAGCAGTCAGGCTTGATCTAGCTTTTGAAGAAGAGACTGGTGCTGTCTTGTTTTCAGCTGCGATACAGCTAATTTTCTTGCTAGTGGCTGATAAGGTGCTGTGTTTGGATATAAAGTGAAAATAATGTTAATAACATGCTAGTATTTCAGTTGTTGGTTAACACTATCTACCTTGAGTCTTGGCTTTTTATGTTGCCTTGCTATCCAGCATTAGAAGCTGGGAGTGTACTAGAAACTGAAGACAGCTGACCCAAACAAACTGAAGGGACATTCCATACCATGTTGCGACATGCTGAACAGTAAAACTGCGGGAGGAGTTAGCCAGATAAATATATTTGGCTAATTATTTATCTCAGCTAATGAGTTCTAAATTTCTCACAGTTCTATCTTCTGATTCTCTCCTCCATCCCACTGCAGGAGGTGGTGAGTGAATAGCTTTGTGGTGGTTGCTAGGCAAGCAAGTGGTAAGACAGCTGTTCTAGTTACCTATTTTTGTAAAACTTATATGGAACTTACTATTCCTTGGGCCTTTGGGCAGGTGTGCTCTTTGCTGAGTAAAAAACTGGCTAGATGGCCAGACTTGGAGAGTGGTAGTGAATAGAGTTAAATCTAGATAGCGACCAGTCACTAGTGTGGTGTTCACCAGGGGGTCAGTATTGGGGCTGCCTTGTTTAATATCTTTATTGATTATCTGGACAAGAGGATTGAGTGCACTTTGAGTAAATGTGCAGATAACACCAAGTCGATCTGTTTGAGAGTAGGGATCTGGATAGGCTGAACTGATGGGTTGAGTCCAGTTATATGAGCTTTAACAAGACCAAGTGCCAGGTGTTGCACTTCAGTCACAACGTGCATTGCTACAGGCTTGGGCAGGGTGGCTGGAAAGCTGTGTGGAGAAAAAGGATCTTGGGGTGCTAGTTGACAGTAGGCTGAATGTGAGCCAGCACCATGCTCCAGTGGCCAAAAAGGTCGATGGAATCCTGGCTTGCATTAGAAATAGTGCAGTCAGCAGGAAGGGGATTGTCCCTTTGTCATCTTGAGTGCTTTATTCAGTTCTTGGCCCCTCACTAGAAAAAGGCATTGAGGCCCTGGATCATGTCCAGAGAAGGGCAATGGAACTGTGAACAGATCTTATGAGGAATAGCTGAGGAAACTGGGACTGTGTAGTCTAGGGAAGAGGAGGCACACTTTATCACTCTCTACAACTCCCTAGAAGGAGGTAGCGAGGTAAGGGTCAGCCTCTTTTCCCAGGTAACAGCAATAGGATGACATGTAATAGCTTCAAGTTGTGCCAGGGGAGGTTTGAGTTGGATGTAAGGAAAACTTTATTTTCCAAAAGAGTGGTGATGCATTAGAACAGGCTGCCCAGGGAGGTGGTGGAGTCACCATCCCTGGAGGTTTTCAAGAAAAGGGTAGATGCTGCACTGACTTACATGGTCTAGTGTGGTCACAAGCGTGGGTTTATGATCATCTTTGTGGTCTTTCCAGCCTTCTATGATATCTTATGTCTGTCTCCTTGCCTCCCCCACTCCTCCCCCCCACTCCCCCCCCCAAAAAAAAAGCAGTTGTTTTACTAATGCTTTTTGTCAGATGTAAGAGCTTTTATTTCTGTTTGATGCTTTGTCTGTTTAAAGATTATCTACTTGGCCCTTGAACAGCAGAATTGCACAGAGAGCTTAATTTCCTTTAATTTTTTTTGTTCTTAAATCAACTGAATACCTAAGTCCTTTTTGGTACTAAACTACCTGTTGTGGGTATTTGTGATTTGGAATCTTAAGCGTTTATGAAAGATGTTTTATTTGCATGCATTAAGAAGCTTACTGTTTGAACAAGTCTATATGTTGTATCATTAATCATTTGCCATTTAGAGACTTAGTGTTTTAGCATAATAATGTAATATAGCATTGTAACAGTTCTGAATATCAATGGGCAAGGAAGATATCACTCTGAGATACGAGTAGGAGTTTGTCTTTTAAGGATGTCTATTTACTGTTTATACTTTAAGGTTTATTCAACATTGTTTTTAATCGATTTAATGTTATTTTTACTGATTTCACATACTAATAGGGTTTTGATATTAAAATGTCAGATGAGTGTAACTTGGACACTTTACAAAACGGAGAGCACATATTAAGACAGTTGTCTTAAATAATTTTTGTTATTTCACTAGATCACATTCATATATTAACACGTTTTTCATGAAACATTACAAATTACTACTCATTATGTCATCTTGTTCATAGCTGGTATTACCCTGTGTAGGGAAACTGTTGGGTTACAGCATTAACTGGTGATTGAGCACCTGAAGTGGTGTACCTGGCCTTGGGAGCACAGGCAAATTGTTTGCAGCTGTGCTTCCTAAGAGACCAGAAGGGGTGGACCCAGGGTGGAGCCACCCTGGCTCATATAATGGCTAGCTACTGAAGGAAGAACATTTCTTGGACCTAGGCTGCTTCCTGGGAAGGAGTGCTGTATAGCCAGTGATCTCCTTCACCAGTTGGGTGAGTTCATCTCTTCTTTCTGTATGTGACTGTTGGCCTACCTGTGAATACTTTGCTTGGTATCACCAAGAACCTGTCAGAAGTAATTTCTTTTGTGAGTAGAGCACCCTGTTAGCAATTAATATATATCACTATCTAGCTTATAACTATATAGCTAAAAATTAATGAAATTGTTGCTTTTAAAATATTGGCATGTTTACTTTTCCTTAGAATTCTTTTCTAGTAATTTGAATGTTGGTGGATTATTATTTTTTTTTCCAACCTTTAGCAAAATTGAACTATTTCCAACAGCCAAGGCATATCAAAGAATCTGATTTTCTGAAGCTCTTGAGGAAGTATGGCAGGCACTCTTTCTTAGCGCAGTCACAAGTCCAGCCATCATTCTCTGCATTTTACCGAGTGAGTTGAATGAAAGTACCAACTGTTTTGCAGGTATACCTTTGCTGTAGCTGTCTGTAATGAGACCTAATGAGAACAAATTCAAAGATCCTTTGTATTTTTCTACCTTTTAAACCATATTATTTTTCAGTTCTTTTCCTTACTGTGTAAAATGTTTCTAATTAGTGTTCTTGTATTTAAAAGTTTGTACAACCCTTTAAACAAAACTGACTGTGTGCAAAAGAGAAGTTCAGGTTTGCCTCTTTGCCTTGATGTCATCACCTTGAACTTGGTCTTACCATTTCACAGTAATGTTTCCAAATTGTCTTTTCAGGCTGGTGATCCAATCCTAATCTACTTTGATTCGTTATCTATACTGAGTGTTCTTAGACAGCCCGTAAAAATGGGAGTCAGTGGACTTTGTGTAGATGGAAATCCAGCTGGTTAGTAAAAGAAAAGGCATTTCTGAGGTTTATGTGCTTCTGTTTTCTCTTATTTGATGTCATCTCTTAACTCTTAACTTCCAGGCTTCCTGGAAAGTGAAAGCACAAGCTGTACTCGCATTTTCACAAACCTGAGCAGGAGCTGTGTCAGTGACCCTGCTCTAAATGCTGCTTCCTACTACCGTGACTTTGCAGTACTAAAGGTGTGTCTTATTTTTTTCCTCTTTTTCAATGCCGTGTTTGCTTGACTTAGCACTGTCATCCATCTCATGTAACTTGGAAAAGGTTACTTGGTGTGTAGTATCCCTTGATCTTCTGATCGTGCCCTTCTTGCTAGAAATCCTGTTGAAAATGTCCCCGATCAGTGATAAATCATCACTTAAATGTGTTTTCCAATAAACTTCAGTTATTAGAAAGTACTTAGTACATATAACAGCTATTTCATTGATATTTCATATTTTATGGTTTAAGTACAACACTTAAATTTTAAATAGACCGTTAAAAATATTTTTCCTTCTCTTCCATCAACTTGATCAACAAAGTAAAGCATGTTAAAGCATGTTCTCAGGAAATAACTAAGGTTTTTTTTTTTTTTTTTGTTACAGTATGTTTTCTGTAAACTCCTGTCTAATGCCAGTTGTCATATAAGCTTGATTTCAGAGAATCACAGAATGGTTGAAGTTGGAAGGGACCTCTGTAGGTTGTCTCTTCTAATCTGTAGCTCAAGCAGGGAGACCTAAAGCAGGTTGTCCAGGACGCTCCACAACTTCTATGGGCAACTTGTACCAGTGCTGTGTCACAGGAAAGAGGTGCTTCTTGATGTTTAGGTGGGATCTCTTGTGTTATAGTTTGTATCTGTTCCTCTATACATCCAGTAATTCCCAAATAAAACACTCAAATATCTCCTCCTTCTGCAGTTTTCCAGTCTAAGCTTGATACAGGAGTCTGCTCTATCAGATTAGTCAAAAAAGAGACATCAGAGAACTGGCAGACATCTTGACTTTGGTCTTTCTGTGCTTTATCAAAATCCGTTTCTCTGTTTACAGACAGCTTTCTAAAAGTCACCTTAGGAAATCTGCACCTATAAATACTAAAGCAGTTCACAACTCAGCATCGTGAGAAACATTAGAAAGAATAACAAGATGGTCAAAGGGACCTCTGGTCCATCTGGTCCAGTCTCATGTTCCATCAGAGACACCTAGAGCAGGGGGCTCAGAACTATGTCCTGGTAGCTTTGGAATATCACCAAGGGGGAGAGTCCACAAGCTCTCTGGACAACCTCTGGCAGTGCTCCATCATCAACACAGGATGGAAGTGCTTCCTCATGATCAGATAAAACCTCCTGTATTCCAGTTTGTGCTCTCTCAGCTTCTCCTCACAGGAGAGGAGCTCCTGTTCCTTGACCATCTTGGTGCCCTTCCATTGGCCTCTTTTCAGTATGCCCAGGTTTCTCTTGTTCTGGGACCCTGTAATGTAGATGCAACCTCTCTTCACCTGCTGGTGATGCTTTGCTTAATGCTGCCAGGAATACAATTAGCGTTCTTAGTGAGAAGGGCACACTGCTGACTCGTTTCTATAGTGTCAAATATAGACACTATATTTGGTGTCTATTAACATCTGCTGTAGAATATATGAAATATATTCTAAAATTGAATTTCATATCAATTAATACTTTATCAATCCTGAAAATAATGTCTAATTACTAGTTTATTTTTGTGTTCATCATGTGAGTTTTACCAAGGGATCACTTAATATTTCATTATTCATTTCTTCTCACCGGTTTCTCTGTTACGCTAAGATGATACAGCAATATAGCGTGTCAATATTAGCACCTTATTTAAAGTTAATGGCTCTGCTTACCCTTTAACTGGAAACATTCTTCTAAATTGACATAACTGTAGTAAGAGAGTATTCCACTGACCAAATGTTATTTATGTTTCTGTGCTTACTTGGTTACTGACAGCAAAACTTAATTTTTCCTCAAGTAGATGCTAGAATAGGTACATCTATACTCCAGGAACAGATAGAAGATGCTAGTAATACTTTCAGTTTGTTGACAGGGCCAGGAATAAATGCTGTCTTCTGTTTTTCTAAAAATACATTTTTTAAATAGTATATCTGTAATTTTTATCTATGGATGACAAGTTTTACACACCTTAAATAAGCCAAGTGACTTTTGTCACTGAAATACCTAGGATGTATTTTGTTTGTCTTGTGATTTTACTTACAAACTCAGAAAATCTGTTGGTTTTTGGTGCTATTTTTTGGCTTGTTTATTTTCCCTAGGTTCCGATCAATGACACCATTGCAGAGTCCATGAAGGTCAGTCTTTTTTGCCAGTGAAAGTAACTTCTGCTTCTGAAATTAAGTATTGGGAATAGTAGACATTCGTAATAATGCTCATGGCTTGAGAACTTGAGAAGAGAGGGAATATTTGGTGTCCGAAGTAAGACTCCTTGTAAGAAAGCGTCATGTTACAGACAAAAATACAGGGGTATAAGGCAACATGTGCTTTTAAATGATTGAGCACAGATGGCATTGGAGTCAGGGATGTGACAAAAAATCAAAATGGCATCTGGAACAGAGTGGTGTGTTCCCAAATCACAGCTACAGCAGGAAGGTAAATCTTGGTTGGAAAAGCAGTGGGAAGGAGTAAGATGTGCTCTTTTTAAACAGCTGTTATTCATTAATATCTTTACTCTCCAGGTAAGGATCAGCCCAGTTGGACCACCTGGAGCTCCCTACATGGAAGATAATACGTGTAACAATGCTGTTTCTGAAGTATCTTGACCTTTTTATCTTAGTCTCAATGCTAACTTCAAGTTGTTACCCTATTACCGTGTCTCTGATTCTTCTCTGGATTGGACTTTCAGGTGATCTATGAGATAGAATTTAATGGTACCCATGGGATTCAGAGTGTGTCTGTCCAGTTCAAAGTGACGAGCATCTCTGGGAGCTCTGGATTCTCACTGCAGCAGCACTTCACTTTGCGTTTTTGGGTCAGTGTCCCAGTCTTTCCTAGGCTGTTAAGTTTGTGTTCTGTGACTTTTGACCCAATTCTGTACAGAAGAGGTGAGAATAGAGCAGTAGTATGATAGTAGTAGTATGATAACACCATCTGTCAAAAGCAGTAAGAGATGCCTCTGCTCTTAAGTAAATTATACAAGTAGAACAGACTCGGTTTAAGTAAGCAACTTTGAAGGGACTGATTAGTTTGATCTGGCTGGGTTGGATTAGTTTGGTTTTGGTTGGTTTATATTAAGTTACTTGCATTGGTTGTTTTTGGTGGGCAGAAGAGGAGAGAGAGAGGGTCAGGGTCATCAGCACAGTATCAGAAAGGAAAAGGTTGGAGCTAATACTGTATCTGAGATGGTCAGTGTTTGTGAACAAAGTTGGTAAGTTTATTCCGAGTACTGAACTTTGTGCAGTGGGAATGAGATTTACTTTGGAGGGGATGGACTGCTGGGAGACAGTAATGTGTTTTGAAGTTTATAAACTTTCTCCTATAGAGACAATGCAGAGTTGGATAAATGGTGACCCACAGGAGTGAGTTAGTGTGCAGTGCAACCATGCTGAAAAGGGCAGAGCACAGAGGGTTGTCATTGGCGGTGCAGAGTCTGGTTGGAGACCTGTAACCAGCGGTGTTCCCCA